TCTGGGACCAGGGTTCCCTCTACCTCCTCGTCCTCCTTGATCTCTCTGCTGCCTTCGACACCATTGACCACTCGATTCTACTCCACTGCCTCTCCTCTCACCTCAACCTTCATGGTTCTATCCTTAAATGATTCAGTGACTCCACTTCATCTCCACAAACGGTTTCTCCTCTAGCCCCCGCACCATCTCTTGCGGTGTTCCTCAGGGCTCTGTCCTTGGTCCCCTCCTCTTCAATATCTATATGCTCCCTCTTGTGGTGACATCATCCGCAGGAATGGGGTCAACTTCCACCTGTATGCGGATGACATCCAACTCTATATCTCTGCCTCCACCCTCAACTCCAGGACCACTGCTGTCCTGACAGAATGTCTGTCAGACATCAAGTCCTGGATAAGAGCTAACTTTCTTCAGTTGAAAATCAACAAGACCAAGACTCTCTTGATTGGCTCTCGTCAGCGCCTCCACACCTCAATATCTTTTGACCCTCAACTATCCTTTCTACTCTACATCCGTTCCATGACCCACTCTGCCCTCCCCCACCTCCATGAAATCGCCCAGCTCCACCACTGTCTCACACCACAGGCTGACAAAACCCTCACACACACACATGCATAATATCCAGGCTGGACTAAGCAAACTCCCTGCTTATAAATGGAATCTTGTTGTTGTTGTTATCGGCCTCCCCAACTCCTCCCTCTATAGGTTGCAGATCATCCAGAACTCTCCAGCCCATGTCGTCTCCCAGACCAGGCTCCGTGACCCCATCAGCCCCATCCTCCCCTGACTCCACTGGCTTCCCATCACACAGAGGACACAGTTCAAGATCCTGATCCTCCCCTTCAAAGCCCTCTATGCCTCGCTCCCCCCTACCTCTGCGACCTCCTAACCCCTTACCCACCTGCCCACTCCCTCTGCTCAGCAGGCTCTGGCCTGCTTCCCATCTCCTGCCTCACCCACTCCACCATTGGTGGGCAGGCCTTCACCCACTCTGCCCCCACCCTCTGGAACTCCATCCCACAAGTCTCTCCACCTAGCCTCCTCCCTTGCCTCCTTCAAGACCCATCTCAAGACCCTCCTCTTCGACCATGCTTTTGATCACCCTCCTTCCCCCCAACCCGCCCTCCACCCTCCCCAATCCTGTCCCCCGCTAGCATCCAAGACACTGACTGTCCAGTGCCTTGGGAAGTCCTTCCAATGTAAAAGGCGCTACACGAATGTAATTTTGTTGTTGTTCTATTCTGTGAACTCCAAGTAGCTAATTTGTAGGTGTGGTGTAACTACTTAGACATGGTTTGGTAGGTTAAGCATAGTATGTCCACTTAAAACAAGTTAATACAATTTTAACCTAAGGGCAACAATATAAGAACATAGGAATTGCTAGGCTAAAAAAGACCAAGGTCTGTCTAGTTCGCCTTCTACCATCCTGGTATTCACTTGCTGCAATAATGGAGATGTTGATAGCAATTAATTCTGCATGGATTAGTCTACAACAGTGTGGAAATCTTTGAGAACTTTTGAACCACAGTTTTGTAGATCTTCCAAGCATACTACACTTACTTTATGTCATGTTTCAAATTACTCATATACTGTATCCCAAAATATTATTTTCTAAAAAATATCTAATTTGCATTTGAATAAATTGACATTTTCTGCTTCCACTGTCTCCCGAGAGAGCCTGTTCCATAGATTTACCACTCGATCGCTGGAATAGTATTTCCGCAGATTAGTTTTGAGATGAGTTATTTCTAAGCACATATAAGCAAATGCCAAATAACGGCAGAGCAAAATAGCAGATAGTCTATGTCGCTATTAGCAATAAGGTCTGCTTACTCTAGTCAGCTAATCTTAATCAACCAACTCAACAGTGTTTTGACCCATTTGGGACTATTCTCCTTGGGGAGGGAAGTAAGCTGAACTGGGTCTAAGATAACATGCTTGGCAACAGAATTTCAAAATTGAGTCAATGATCTGTGGTTGTGTACTGGTAGTCCGGTTCCTGAGCCAGGTGAGTCCGTAATACTTCATGACACTGCTGATGACAGTCCAGCTAGCCTGGCTCAACATTTGGGCTTGAAGGAGCGAACCCATTACTAGAAGCAAGGATTCTTCCCACTCTTCTCCTGTTAACTTGCGAGCCAAAGGCCTAACAGGTAAGGTAGTCCTTGCTGGGCAAGCAGCAGGAAGCTTGTCAGACAGTTCTTTTACTGGCAAGCTACGTGGTTTTAGCTGGTTAGAGTCCAGCAATACCCAAACAGCACACTCTGAGGTCCCAAATCCTTGGCTCTTGCCAACCTGTGCCAAATACTCATCGGAATTAGATAAGCAGAATTCATTCCACAGGGAAAGAATGTACATTCCATACACAAAAATATCCAGTGTAGGTGTCATACAAGGAACTCAGTCTGGTTTGGATATTCAAGCATGCTGATGAGTTTCTGCATGTATTAGACACTCGGCTGATCAAATCTGGGTGAGACAATACCTGGAGTAAACAGGAAAAAATCTTGCAAACATACAGTGACCAGAAAAGTTAAAAGCATCAGGAAGCAAATACTTCCCCCCCCACACGCTTTTTAATGAAATGTGTTACATTAAATCATTAAAAGCAATAGTTAACACTGAACAAACAGGAGCCACTTACCTACACTTATCACAGTTTAGTTGCAACATTCGACATTGCAAAGAAGGAAAAAATGATTGCAGGAATGAACTTTCTTTCCCTCTCTCCCCCCCCCCCCCCCCACATGAAAAAAAACAAAAATAAGTTCAATTCAGATCTAGGACTTTTATCAATCATAGACTGAGGTACAGTCTCTTCTAGTTTTTAAGATTAGATTAATGCAGTAAATAGATCTTAATGTTAATGATAATCCGTGCATTTGATATAGCACTTATCAAGAATAACTTAACTTTGCTTCACTGAGTTTCCCTAAAGCGAAGTGACTGTGTTGTGTGTAGGCTATTGTCGGGAAGTCCTGCTGTTGCTGGATTACTGGGCAAAAGGTTGTGAACAGATCCGAATAGATCTGAGCCCACAACATGGAATTCGGATTAAATGGCCCTCTTTGTAATGTAAAGCAACAACCAGCTGCATGGTCTGGTCTGGACCAGGGACCTCCGCCCAGCCAGGTGAGAACAGCACAGACAGACAGGCCAGCAGGGCCGGGTCCCTGCTCTCCGCAACAGACACAGCTCGGCACACCTCCACCAGGCAAACCACACAGTCACACACACAGTCACACACACACACCACACAGTCACACACACACACACCACAGTCACACACACACACACCACAGTCACACACACACACACCACAATCACACACACAGTCACACACACACACACCACACAGTCACACACACGCACCACAGTCACACACACAGTCACATACACCACACACACAGTCACACACACAGTCACACACACAGTCACACACACACCATACAGTCACACACCACAGTCACACCACACAGTCACACCACACAGTCACGCACACACACCATACAGTCACACACACACACCACAGTCACACACACCACACCACAGTCACACACACCACACCACAGTCACACACACACACACCACAGTCACACACACACACACTACAGTCACACACACACACCATACAGTCACACACACACACCACAGTCACACACACACACTACAGTCACACACACACACCACACAGTCACACACCACACGTGTAGCAAATGCCCAAAGGACCTCTCGCTCCACATCAAAACAGCTTTGGACGATCGGACCAAAAGAAGAAAAAAACACACACACACGAGGCTGAGCAACTTGGGACACCCCCACAGCAAACAAGTGAGCAGCGCTCCTGCCACAGGAGAGGAAAAAACACCACCACCACCACCAGCAGGAAAGCCCCACAACAACAACAACAACAACACATCGTTTAGCCCAACAGCAGCGAACGCCAAATACCCAATTCCCCGCCGGGGTGACTGACACCCGCAACACACACCACACACACAGTCACACACACCACACAGTCACACACACAGTCACACACACACCACACAGTCACACACACACAGTCACACACACACACACAGTCACACACCACACAGTCACACACACACAGTCACACACACAGTCACACACACACCACACAGTCACACACACACAGTCACACACACACAGTCACACACACACCACACACAGTCACACACACACCACACACAGTCACACACACACAGTCACACACACACAGTCACACAGTCACACACACACACCACACAGTCACACACACACCACACAGTCACACACACAGTCACACACACACCACAGTCACACACACACCACAGTCACACACACACACACCACACAGTCTCACACACACAGTCACACACACACACACACACAGTCTCACACACACACCACACAGTCTCACACACACAGTCACACACACACACACAGTCACACACACCACACAGTCACACACACACCACAGTCACACACACACCACACACACACCACAGGAGCTCCGAATTGCGTGCGTGAGTTTGTTTCTTTTTGTTTGAATATAAAAACAAATAACACCCCCACCCCCACCTCATCCTCCCCCCCCCGTCTCACCGCTCAGTTTGCCCCCGCTGTCCCCCCCCCGCCGCTGTCCCCCCCCCGCTGTCCCCCCCACTGTCTCACCGCTCAGTTTGCCCCCTGTCCCCCCCCCCGCTGTCCCCCCCTGTCTCACCGCTCAGTTTGCCCCCCCTGTCCCCCCCGTGTCTCTCACCGCTCAGTTTGCCCCCCCTGTCCCCCCCCCCGCTGTCCCCCCCCCCCGCTGTCCTCCCCCCGCTGTCCCCCCCCCCCGCTGTCCCCCCCCCCCCCCCCGCTGTCCCCCCCCCCTGTGTGTCTCACCGCTCAGTTTGCCCCCGCTGTCCCCCCCCGCTGTCCCCCCCCCCGCTGTCCCCCCCCCGCTGTCCCCCCCCCCGCTGTCCCCCCCCCGCTGCCCCCCCCCCCCCTGTGTCTCTCACCGCTCAGTTTGCCGCCGCTGTCTCCCTGCCTCCGCCGGCGCTGCAGAACGAAGTAAGCGTTGTCCCTGTCCGCCACCCAGAGCTTCAGAGCGTTTCTCAGCAGCACTTCCTCGGGCTTCAGCCACATGATGGGCACAGCGCAGCACAGCGCAGCTCACAGGGGCATTGGGAGATGCAAACACCTTTATTGCCTTTCCCACTCCCCTTCACTGCAGTCCTGGTCAGTTGCAGTGATTTGTGTTCCAGTGTGACTGTATTTATGTATTTATGTATTAATCTCTCTCTCTCACTGCACACACCACCTCCCCCCCACCACCTGCACACCAGCCCTCAATAGCACCACTATTCCTCCTCTCTTGGCTTTTTTTTTATGCTAATATTTCACCTCCAGTTTCCGGATTTTTACTCTCTTGAGTCAGTTTTCCGGTTTTGTTCCAGAGGAAGTCCCGCCCTTATTTTTGCTGCCATTGCACACACTTCGATCTTGTCTTCGTTTGCCACCGGACGGGTGTCCCGTAAACAGCACATCGGCAGCAAGTAATAATAGTGATGATAATCATCCCGGCACTTGGAACAGCGCCTTATCACATCTTCGAGAACGCGTCGAAGGGATTCGCAGAACGTACCGTCAAGTGAATTGACTGTATATTTTCTGGGCGGAACGCGGCAGCCAATGGCGCACTGCAGTGTCCCACGAACGGTCGTGGATTGTCACCGAATTTTTTTTTTGCTAAGGCAGTGCGTGTCTCGTCGCTCGACGGTCTTAAGTAAGCGTAGCTGAGCAGCGCCACGTCATAAAAGATCCTCGTTGCTGCATTTCCAAGGCTTGTTCGCGCTCATAAGGGAAGAATATCATAGAATCACAGAAGGTTACAGACAGAAATAGGGCATTCAGCCAAAGGCTGCCCGACAGTGCTCTCGATGGCAAAGGTTTGTGGTTTTTAGTTGGTTAGAATCCAGCTGGACCCCAACGCACACTCTGGGGGTCCCCAAGACTTATCTCTCACCAACCTGTGCCTTAAAACCCTCCGTAATTAGGTGAGCATTGTATGTCCCTCCAGGGAGAGTACACAATCCATCTCAGACCCAGGGAAGTTTACAGGTGTAGCTGGAACCTATGTGCAACTCTCAGTCTTGGTTTAGACACTCTTAAGCACGGAGATGGAATTCTGCGTATGACAGACAACAACAACTCCCCTTACTTTTTCCATTTGTTCTGATTGTTTCTGGACTGCCTGGATCCCAAATTCGTGACTCCAGATATGTGAGAGTAAATAATTTACGAATTTAAACAGTTTAATATAAAAAGATGTTGATGTATGTATTAAGAAAACTTGACTGTTGACCTCAACTGGGAATCCACATGATTTTTTAAAGATCTTAAAAAGTAAAACTGGTTATAATAATAAAAATTAAGGATATACTGAAACCCTGGCTAGCCGGACTGGGGGGGGGGGGGGGGGGAAGAGTGTTGGGGGGATCGGTTCAGCGAGCTGGAATTTCCAGCTACGTGTAATTACAAAGCCAGTACCAGCATTTGGGATAAGATGTCTTTCTTCTGGTTGCATGATTTAAACTGGGTCAAAGTGAATATCCCTGGTCGCTGAAGGCCAACAAGTACAGTGAGGCAGAGCCGCACAAAAGGAGTTTTCCCACACGTGGGCCCGCAGAATTTTTTCTGTTTTGGGCCTAATCTGGCTTGGTATAAATTCCAGATATCAAAGTGTAAAGCACTTTTATATGTCTGCTTAACGTGAAAGACATTAAATCAAATGTCAGGACTATTATTATTGTTTAAATTCTGATATAGGAACATAAGAACAGGAGTTGGACCATAGAGTCTGCGCCACGATTTATTTTGGAGGAGTATTGGCCAGAACATGAAGTCTGGAACTTCAAGAGTCCGCTAAACCAAGGGTTTGCTGTGTATAATGAAAGTATAACAGATCAACCATAATCTAAGAAAATGATGGTACAAGCTCTATAGGCCAACTCCTGTTCTTATGTTCCTATATCAGAATTTAATAATAATAATAGTCCTGACATTTGATATAATGCCTTTCACGACAAGCGGACATATCAAAGTGCTTTACAGGATACACTGTGAAGTAGAGTGACTGTGTATCTTGTGGGTGAATGGGGCAGCTAAGTGCACGCAGTAATGTCCCACAAATAACCATGGAGTGAATAACCAATTTTATTTTGGATTATTGGCCACGACACCAGAGGAAACTCCATTCTTTTTTCAACTGGAGCCAGGGGATCTTTAATTTGTACCTGAACAGGCAGACGGGAAATCAGTTTAATGTCTCATCCATAGGACGGCACCTCCAATAATGTAGTACAACTCCAGCGCTGCATTGGAGTGTCAGCTCTGACTATATGAGTTTGAAGCCCTGACATGGAGTCCTGTAGCTCAGTGGTTAGAGCACTCGCTTTGCAAGTGAGAGACCTGAGTTCAATTCCAGGCAGAGGGCGAAACCTTGGGCAAGTTTCCTTACTCCACACGCCTAATAATAATCCCTCCAAAACTAAAAACAATAATTAAATTGGTCATTTTCAATCTACGACTGTTTGTGGGACATTGCTGTGCGCAATTGGCTGCCACGTTCGCCCACAAATATACAGTCAATTCACTTTACAGTGTGTTCCGTGAAGCGCTTTGGGACGTCCTCCCAACGTGAAAAGCGCTATATCAAATGCAAGGATTATTATTATAATAATAATAATAATAATAATAATCCTTGCATTTGATATAGCGCTTTTCACGTCGGGAGGACGTCCCAAAGCGCTTCACAGAACACACTGTAAAGTGAATTGACTGTATATTTGTGGGCGAACGCGGCAGCCAATTGCGCACAGCAATGTCCCACAAACAGTCGTAGATTGAAAATGACCAATTTAATTATTGTTTTTAGTTTTGGAGGGATTATTATTAGGCTCTGTGTTTATTATTATTATTATGGGGCATGAGATTGCACATACACTCTTAGACTTGCTATTACTGAATGCAGATGATCATGTACGTTCATTCATCTGCAATTTGAGATCTCATTGCATTCCAGAGCACTTTCGTTTGCATGGCCCTTCTTCACTCTCTCCATAACTGTTTCTCTATGTGTTGACAAGTTCAGTTAAACATATTGGAAACAGTTACGATATAAACAAAACGTTTATTAAAACCCATGAAAACCATGTATTTCACTTATCACATCTTATCACATCTTCGAGACGTATCACAAAGGCTTCACAGACTATACTGTACAACAACAACAACAACAACAAGATTCCATTTATTGAGCGCCTTTCACGTCGGGAGGACGTCCCAAGGCGCTGTACAGTTGGGTCAGGACCCGAGCAGGGGGGGAAATGGTCAGGGTGAGGGGAGGGAAGGGAGGGAGCGAGGAGGGGGTAGAGAGTCGAGAGGGGAGCTGAAGGCACGGTCAAAGTGAATTGACTGTATATTTTGTAGGTATAACCATGGCATCCTATTTGATACTGCGTATATGATTGATCTCATATTAACATGTTCAAGAACCAAACTACTTGAGCATGCTGTAAGTCAGAAGCAAAAAACTCTGGGAGCAGAATACCTAATTGCCAATTATATGACAAGTTGAAAAAAGTTATTCTAACTCCATAGTTCACTCATAAGACCATATTTGAAAAATTACACATTCACTTCCACATGATTTTCCTCCTCTGCTTCTGCTAATGGACATCATCTCATAATGACATATTCTAAGTGTTTAAGTGCTGTGAGATTTTCATCCTACGTGAAGAGTGGTTGTTGTTTTGTGTTTCAATATGCATTACAGAGCATAGCTTAATGAAAGTCAACTGGAAGTCATATGATTTCTCTATTCTTGTGACAATAAAGGGAAACATATTCATTGTCCCCTGGATACCAGTTTTTTGTCTTGTAGTAAGAAACCATTCTCTAATGTGCTTTGTTCGGTGTCTAAAATGTAACTAAGATAAAAACGGATATCCTCACTTCACCAGAGTCTTTATGCTGATAAAAAAGAAAGAAAATCCAACAATATTTTAGAATGTACAGGAGGAATTGCAATTGGCAGCAAACAGATTAATTTGAACATTCCACGCATTTTTTTTCAAGTTCTACATTTCTTATAATTGTATGATCTCAACACTTAAGCAAACTATGAAATAGGCAAAGTAGGTATTTTACAAAAAAACTATGTCAATTATGAGAAAATAATGACATACAAATGAATGGATGTACTCAATATAAGTGTTCCCTGCTATGTGAACATGAGACAGGAAACGGACAAAGGAAGAAGCAAAAACCTAAAAACAATCTTTTCATTTGATAAACATCCTATCAAGTCATTGATACATCTCAAAGCACTTCACAGGAATTTTACTGAGGCATAGTGATTGTGTATTTGTATGCAAACAAGGTAGCCAGAGCATAAAATGTTCGATAAACAGCCATGAAGTGAATGATTCCATACAACAAGAAGATTACATTTGTATAGTGCCTTTCACGTCAAAGTGGAAACGGTGAGAGAGATAGGAATTGAACCAGGCAAGGGCAGGTCCGCGAAGATTAAGGAGGAGAGGCAGTGTATGAGGATGGAGTGGTCGACAGTGTCGAAGGTGGCAGAGAGGTCGAGGAGGACAAGGAGGCAGAGGGAGCGGCCGTTCATCTTCCCTCGTTCTGCGCAGTAGAACTCCACTCGGCACACTCTGAGACCTTGGGGTTGCTAAGTGGTGACGTCATGGCTCGGGCAGGGGTGGGGTGCGGTCTCCCTTGGGGATGGAGACCCGGAGGAGTAGGTGGGGCCGAGAGGTCTCTCCAACGACACATTGGCCTGCACACCCTGGTCAGACCTCCACTCCCGTAGGTAGTAGGAATGTTGCCATCTTGTTTGCATGGCACCTCACTGTCTCAATTAATCAAGCACTTTTTGTGAGTGGCAGAGTATGTGACCAAAAGTATATATACTGAGTGTTTGGGACAGGCAGGGACAGTTGAACCTTGGAGTGACTTCTAATAAGAAGTTGTTCTGCTTGCCAACCCGGCTAAAACGGTAAGTGCCTTTATGTATTATGACTCTGCCTTAATTTAATGCTTTGGGCTGCCTTCAATTGCATTAATGTGGTCAATAAATAGTTTGAATTCTTTTTCATGGTCAGTATTTTACTTGTTATTATAAACGGGATACTGGTTTTGTCTTCCTGACTCAAAAAAACTCGACTCTAGTCACTGGGAGATTGGGTGTTGATATCAGCTCTGTGATATTTGGCGCCCAATGTAGGGCTCGAGTTATTAAAGAGAATACACAATTTAATAAATATTACCGGTAAAAGTAAAACTACTATGTCAGTCC